AATAACTAATAAATAATAATACAAGCAAAAACTCTGTATTTTGCATACTCACAACTGTAAACCCACCTTTGCCCTACCCTGTTCATACCAATAATCAAAACAATATGTCAGCCTTGCAAATGACTGTCTATTCTTTAGGATTTACCCAAGTATAGAAAACAACCCTTTTTTTATTTGCTAGATGTGACCTCTGGGTAATTTCAAAGACAACTTTTTATTAATAAATATTTCTGAACTTTATTTAGAGAAATGACTTCTAGTGGCAACTATAAATTGACTATTGAATTACACCTTAGGGTGTCCCCTAGCCGATCAAGGGTGATTCTTCTCATCAGAAAGGCCCAAAGAAGTCAGCAGAGGGGCCAGTTTTTGCCTTGTCTTGTTTTATAAAACTGGCAAAGGCGGATGTGTTTGTAGGTTTCAATTCTTCAAAATGGACCTGTGCCCTCACAGTCCTTTTTAAATCAAATCTCCTCTCCCAAATCCATGTAGGCTTTGGGAAGAGGATTTGTGTAAGAGAAGACAGAAGTGCCCATCAAGTCTGTTCACAAAACATTTGGCAATGCATGTATCATCTGTTCTCTAGGGAGCCGATATGAGCCCGTGTTTCTGGAAATGCAACTTATTTCTTCATAAATCAGTGTGACTGTCGCTGGCAGTGGTGACTTCCAAACTAAGTCCAAGACGCAGTAAGCAGTCAGTTATTTTTTATACAATGAGTGCAATTCAATTTCTGACTCCATAATAATTGTCCTCATTAGCTCCCTTTTCCAAACAGCTCGTTAATATCAGTGGAGTCTCATCGGAACCCTGTGGACCGCTGAGGGTTTCTCTCAGTCTCTGCTTTATGAGACAGCAATAACAATCGTGGTGCCGTTCACTTAGCACCAGGTGCCTTCATGTGCATTTCTTTCTCAATCCTCACAACAACCCTGTGATTCGGCAAGTGGTTTGTTGATAGGGAAAATGGGCTCAGAGCGATTAATTCTCTTGCAGTCACAGAGCCAGAAAGTGGCCTAATGACATTCAAACCCAGGTCTGTCTATCTCCAAAGCATATGCTTTTGAAACTTACAGTAGTTTTCTAATGTCAGAGTCAGGTTCAGAACACAGAGCTCTCTGTCTCAACTTTGGCCAGACGGAAAACAAAACTACCTAAAATCTATGTCTTGTTATGATAAAGGAAAAACTGAAATTATTTTTCCCCCCACCTTTGTGCACTGAACAGATTTTCTGTGCTGTTGTTGGAAGACCACAACATGGATGAGAATCCATGTTGAATTTATCATAAACACTCTCAGAAAACCAGGAATAAAGGGGAAACTTTCTCAACTTGTTAAGAGCATTTACAGAAAAACTACAGTTAACATCTTACTTATGGAGAAACACTGAATGCTTCCCCCTTAAGATTAGGAACAAGCAAACATGAAGATTTATACTGCACTTATCACTTGTATTCAACAGAGTACTGGAGGTGCTAGCCAGTGCAACAAAGCAAGAAAAGGAAACTAAAGGCATTAAGATCTCCTTTCCTCAGAAGAGAAATAACATTGGTCTTATTTGCAGATGGCATGATTATTGTGTATCAAATCCTAAGACATCTATGAAAAGCCTTGTGGAAAGTTCAGTTAAAGTTGCAAGGTACCATATAAGCACACAAAAATCAATTGTATTTACTGTCAATAACATGTGGACACCAAAATTAAAAATATAATACCATTTACAGTCAGAGAGAGAGAGACAAAAACACATGTAAATATAACAAAATATGTATAGGACTTGTATGCTGAAAACTATAGAATATTCATGAAAGAAATCAAAGACCACCTGAATAAATGAAGAAACATACCATGTTCATGGATGGACTATAATAGTAATGATATCAATTCTTCTCACATTGAAATATAGGTTGAAACACAATTCCTATCAAAATTGCAGCAAGATATTTTGTATAGGCAAGCTTATTACTAAAATTTATATGGAAAAGGAAAAAAACAAAAAACCTAGAAGAGCTAAAAAATAAAGAATAAACTCTGGCCAGTTTGGTTCAGCGGTTAGAGCGTTGGCCTGTGGTCCAGAGAGACCCGGGTTCAGTTCTGCTAAGGGCACGTACCTCAATTGCAGTTTGTCCCTGGCCTTGGTTAGTCGTGCAGGTGGCAACCACTCAATGTGTCCCTTTCACATTGATGTTTCTCTCTCTCTCTCCCTCCCACTCTATCTGAACAAAAAATGGGAAAATGTCCTCAGGTGAGGATAAAAAAATAATAATGATAAAGTAGGAGGAATCACTTTTCCTGATTTAAGACTTATATAGCTCTAATAATCAAGGCCATGTCATACTGGTAGAGGACAGACATAGATCAATGAAGCATAATAGAGAACCCAGAAATCACCCCCACACAGTATAGCCAATTGATTTTTGACAAAGTTGCAAAAGCAATTCAACGGAGAAAGGATAATCTTTTCAACAAATGGTTCTGGAGCAAACGGATTATCTACATGTAATAAAAATAAAACTTGACCTAAACTTCACATCATATACAAAAATGAACTCAAAAAGGTTTAGAGGTTTAAACATAAAGCCACAAAACTTTTATTTATTTATTTTATCCTCACCCAAGGACATTTTTTCCATTTTTTTGTTCAGGTAGAGTGGGAGGGAGAGAGAGGGAGAGAGAAACATCGATGTGAAAGGGACACATCGAGTGGCTGCCACCCACACGACCAACCAGGGCCGGGGACAAACTGCAACCGAGGTACGTGCCTTAGCAGGAACCGAACCCGGGTCTCTCAGGACTGCAGGCCGATGCTCTAACCGCTGAGCCAAACTGGCCAGGGCAATCCACAAAACTTTTAGAAGAAAACATGAGACAGTCCTCAGGACCAAGGGCTTGGTGACATGTTTTTAGACATGACACTATGACCATGATCTATAAAAGAAAAAAAAAAAAGATAAACTGAACTTCACCCAAATTTAAGACTTTTGCTCTGTGAAATGTTTTGTTGAGAGAATGAAAAGACAAACTCTGGGAGGGAGAAAATATTTGCAAACCATATATATGACAAAGGACTCATATCTAAAATATATAAAGAACTCTCAAAACTCAATAGGAAATACCCAAATAATCTGAATAGAAGTGAGCAAAAGACATGAGCAGAGATTTCACGAAAGAGAATATGCAGAAGGCAAATAAGTGCTACACGAAAAGATATTCAACATCACTAGCTATGGGAGAAATGCAAAGTAAAACCACAATCATATATTGCTACACACTAAACAGCTAAAATAAAAAAATGGTGATAGTACTAATTGCTGGTGAAGATGCAGAGAAACCGTGTCTCATATATTGCTGGTGGGAATGCAAAATGGTAGTCAGCCTGGATAATAATCTGGCAGTTTCTTTAGAAACCAAATATATACTTACCATGTGATCTAGCCATCACACACCTGAGCATCTATCCCAGAGAAATGAAAACTTAGGTTTGCACAAAAACCTTTGGACAACTGTTTATAGTAGATGTATTTGTAACAGCCCTAAATGGAAAATAATCAAAATGTTTTTCAATATGTGAATGGTTAAACAAAAGTGATGTGTCCATACCATGGCATATGACTCAGCAATAAAGAGGAACAGGCTAATCTAAATGGATCTCAAGGACATTAGGGTGAAAAAAACCTCAAAAGGTCACACATTATGAGTCCATTTATATATCATTCGCAAAAAGATAAAAATTGTAGAAATGAAGAACAGATTGGTGGTTGTCAGGATTTAGGGAGGGTGGTGGGACGAGGTATTGTGACTATAAAGAAATATCACGAGTGAGATCTCTGAGGACTGAATAGTTCTGTATCTTGATGGCTGCACAGGAACCCACACATGTGACAAAATGGCGCAGAGCCAAACACACATTTGCACCAATGTCGATTTCCTGGTTTTGATGTGATTATGGCTAGATAATATGTAACCTGTTGGAAGAAACCGGGTGAAGGGTACGGGGGATCTAGCTCTCTACTATTTTTGGAACTTCTTGTGAATCTATAATTATTTACTTCAAAATAAAGAGTTAAAAGAACATCTGTTGAGCCCTGCTGGTATGGCTCAGTGGTTGGGTGTCGACCTCTGCACCAGGAGTCGCAGGTTCAATTCCCGGCCAGGGCATATGCCCAGGTTGTGGGCCAGATCCCCATTGGGGGGCATGCAGGAGGTGGCCAGTTGATGTTCTCTTTCATCGATGTTTCTATCTCTCTCTCCCTCTCCCTCCCTCTCTTTCTCAAATCAATAAAGAAAAGTAAAAAAGAAAATCTGTTGAGTGATTTGAGAGACCTGCCTTTCACAGTTATAAAGGGATTTTGCTGTATTTCACTTTTTGCTTCAATATTTTAACCCGCTTCAACAGTTAAAAAGGCTCAAAGCCACTGTTTTTATTTTTATTTTTCCTTTCTTTTACCCAGCTTCCTTGGATGTCAGGGGGCTGAGCTGAGGCTCTGGAACAAACCACAGCTAAGTCAGAGAATGAAATGAAATGAGACAATGCTGAGGCCACGCCCACGGCTTACCCTGATTTACCGCTTAGAGGTCCGTGGGCGGGCGGGGGGCGGGCACAAGAGACTCCAAAAATTCTGGCAAGGGCGAGAGGCCATTGCCCAGGCTGGGCACTCCAGGTGGCTCTGGTTATCAGGCCTGGAGCAGGGGAAGGTCAAAGCACCAGCTCTATGCCCACCTTCCAAAGCAACTCATCAGGCCGCCGGGGAGGAGACAGTCCACAGACACGTTCTGCAAGGGCAGAGGGCACCTCGCACTTTGTTGCGTGGTGCTCATTTCAGTGTCTTCCAGGGAAATCCGGCACATTTGTCAGGTGGTTTTTGGCAGCACATTGAGGGGAAATGTGGCTGTTAGCCAGAGCTGTGCTTCAAGAGAGACTTCAGTCCACAAAACAGTGAGGGCTTTGGAGGGTGAGGGGTGAGGAGGGGGATGAGGAATGGGTGGGAAGAACTCTTACCTCTAAAACAAGGTCTGAGTCTTTATGCCTTCCAATCGTAGTACTTTTATTCAGGACAAAAAAGCCTTCTGCGCTCTTTAGATAGGCTTTCATACTCTCTGCTTTCCCTATATAAGGGTTTCAGGAGAAAAAAATTGTTAGAAAGATGTGCTCGAATTATTCAACATCATATTTCTCCAAAGGGGAAATTAGCAGAGCTGGGAGTGGATAGACAGACTAACAATGATCACAATGATGATTTTGCGTATTTTACGTGGTCTCTTTAGCTGTGATGTCTAGCATAGGTTCTGATAATCAAGTAGAAGACATTTGTATGTAACTCAGAGCACGAACTAGCTAAAACAACCCGACAAGTCTGGATTCCACTAGTAATTGTTCTTCACTCCCATTAAACTTAGTATGAGGTTACTTATCTGACATATCAAATATTCACGTTCAATATTTCTAACCCTCTACTTCCTAGCTCTGTGACCTGAGGTGAGTTATTTATTCTTTCTCTATGCCTCAGTTTTCTCATCTATAAAATGGGTTAATTACTCTGTATCCCAAAGGATTTTGTGAGGATTAAATGCAATAATGTGTGTGAGGCATTTAGAATGGTGACTTCTACACATGAAATGCACATTGTACTATGACTTTTATTATTGTTTTTAATCTTGGGATTCTAGAACTCTGATCCAAGGATCTCTAAGCTTCTATAGGGCTTGTTAAAGTGTTGAGTCAGTCTTTGAGGAAATGAGCTTTAAATGATACTTTTTTTTTTAAGTCAGTCAATTTCTTCATATACTTAGGGAAAAAAGGATGATTTAGGCAAGGTATCAAGATTATAGCTTAGTCATATGATCAGGACTCTGAAGATATTTTTCTTCAATATTTTACTATGAAAATGTCAAATGCACAGGAAAGTTAAAAGAAGTAGATGGTGAACTCCTGTATACCCACCACCTCGATTCTACATTTGACATTTTGCTGTATTTGTTTGATCACATATCTATCCATCTATCCATTCATTCATCCATTTTATATTTTGATGCATTTCAAAGTAAGTTCTATACCTGTTTTTCAAAACATAAAAATTTTAGCCCTGGCTGGTTAGAGTGTTGGCCCGCACACCAAAGGATTGCACATTCGATTCCTGGTCAAGGGCATGTACCTAGGTCGCAGGTTGATCCCTGGGTGTGGTCAGGGTCATGTGGGAGGCAACCAACCTATGTGTCTCTCTCACATTGATGTTTCTCTCTCTCTCCCTCCCTCCCTTTCATTCTGTCTAAACATCAATGGAAAACTATTCTTGGGTGAGGATTAACAACAATAATAAAAAAAAAAAACACACACACACACAAAAATTTCAGTGACTTCAGTAGATTCCAAAATGTTGGTGATACTTAACATGATGCTTGAATTCTGATTGGGGATGTGTCCAATTACCGTGTGACATTCTTCATTTCAATGCCACGTCAAAGAACAAAAGTCCCTCTCTTTTCAGCTGAAAGGTCACTGAAGTCATCTAGTTGTGACCATAAATGCATCAGGTCTGGTTCTGCTTTCTATCAACATCTCCATCATCATTGACTGTGCTCTCCTTTTACACACATCGCCTCATTTGAGCCTCACAACAACCCTGAGAGCTAGGTATCTGTACTGTCCCATGTGACAGAGGGGGAACTGAGACTCAGAGAGGTTAAGGTCACACAGCAGTAAGTGTCAGGGAGAGAACTCTGAGCCCTTTCATGTAACTACTGCATGATCCTCCCACAGCTCAATTTCCAGGCCTCCACTGTTGCCGGGTGGTGCAGAGCGGGGTTGGTGAGTTACACTGCGTGCTGACATTTGGGGCATGCACTATCAGAAAGCCCTTGAAACCAGGATTCTAGCCTCTGAAAGGGGGAAAAAAAAAAGAAGACAGGGGTAAGAAAAATACAAATAAGCCAGATAGTTTATTTTATATTTGTCAACTCTGAGGCCTGTGGATGCCTCACAAACATCGATGCTTTCCTATCATAAGAAATAAGTTTTAAGTGTGTGGTCATGAATATAGGAGAGAAGATATTTTTCCTAAAGAAGCACGCTCTCTTGCCATCAAATCATTTCGGTTATTCACCTTCAGTTGCAGAGGACCACATTATCAAGCAACACACTCGAGCCTCATTGATCTGACACGTAAGTCTGTGCTAACCTCTCTCCTGCAGGAATGCCACTAGACCAAAATCCAAAACTTGAATGATGTGCATATTCGTATTTTAGCTCTCACGCCAGATGTTCCCAAGGCTGGAGCTTTCTCTCTGCTCAGAGGTCACCCCTTAGTGGTAACCTTCTGACCACCTGACTAAAGGCACCCGCCAGTAACATCACTCTCTAGCTGGCCCATCTCTGCTGTTTCCTTCCTGTACTTACTCGCTGACATTTTCTTATTCCTTTATTTAGCTGTGTTTGCTGTTTGTTTCCCTTTCACTAAGATACATGTGCCAAGGCGGGCAGAACTGCGTTGTTTTTGTCGAGACCATTCTTCTTGGGCTTTGTGTGTTTGTACCATCTACAGAGCAGAGGCAGTGACAGATTTTGGTCCTGCGTTATCTTTCTGAGAACAGAGGTAGTAGAGGTAATGTTTATAATAAAGATGCCGCCTCCTTTAGTGGCAACAACCAGGCAAGTTTGCTAGCAGCCCCTTTCCAAGATTGGGGTTTGTCTAAGCTTGGAGCTCCTTAGCTGGGGTATAGCACCCACCTCTGCTGCTCTGCACCACCCCAAGGGACTTTTGGGGCCAGGAGAACCAGTTTGAATGTGAAGGGCTGGGAGCCTGCTGGGCCTGCTCTGCTTGAGTAATGGAGGCCTCCGTCTCTGGCCCAGGTGTCTCCTGTCTTCAGCCGGCATCTATAAGCTGGGCAGGCTAACTTGTTAGCTTGCAAACCGGGTAAAATCTCAGCCCCTTCGAAGTTCCTGACAATTTTGTTCATTAGCCCATATCCAGCGCCTGGAGCAACGCATGACATATAGTAGGTGCTCAGTAAACACTTGCAGGATGAGTGGAAATACAAGATGATACCTCGAAGCAGTTAGAGCAGCCCGCCGGCTGGGAATCTTTGATTGTAACGACCCTCACCTGCCCTTCGGTATCTATCCTACATGACTTTTTGGAAAACCTAAGTTCTGTCTCTAGCTTTGGGGCTGGACAATACTTCCCCCCCTTCGTCTTGCCCTGCGCAGTCAGTTCCCTGCCTGGAAACACTGTGGACAGTAACTGGACCGTGTTAAACTGGGAAGTTCGTTCTTAGTGCCGCAGAGCACCAGCCGCAGCGAAGACGGGAAGGGCTTCAAGCCTGGGCCTCGCCTCACCACTTCATTGGGTCAGAATGGGCCTTCGGAGCAACATTTCTTCTGAGGCTACGAGGTCTCCAGGCCTCAAAGGGGAGATGGGGTACTGGGATCTCTGACCACTGGGGGGTGGTGTCCGTAAATCCGGAAAACCTGGGGGCGCCCTTCCTAATCCCAGCTGTACCCCACGGGACATCCGAGAGCTGATGCCAGAGAAGGTCCTTAAAGCTCCAGCGGGCCACGTCGGTGGGCAGGGAGGGGGCGGCTCTTAGGAAGGTCTGGTGTTGGGGCACGTCCTCTAGGGTGCTCCTGGGGACAGGAGTCCGGATCCGAGAGGGGCTGGGGTGGGGCCGGGTCATTCTCCGCCAGCCCAGCCCTTGACCTCGCAGGACGGGCCGTGGGCCCCAGGTCCCCGCCCGCCGCCGCCCGTGCCGCACTCACCTGGCGGGAGGAAGAAGCCCACGCCCCGTCCTCCGCCGAGAGCCCGGCGGGCTCGCGAGGCGCCAGGCCCGCTCCCGGGCGAGGCCTCCCGGCCGCGCTCCCGCGGAGTCTCCAGCCAGCGGCCGGCACCCCGCGCACCCGCCCGGCCTGTGTACGCGCGTCACCATGGCAACGCAGCGGGCTGGCAACCGGGTGAGGGGCGTGGCCTGCGCCTCCGCGGCGGCGGGCGAGGGGCCTGCGCTGGGAGGGCCCCGGAGTGCCGCCTGTCCCCGCGCCTCGAGGCCTCCCCAGCTGCCACTTCGGGGACCTCAGCCCCATTTCACAGATGGGGAGACCGGGGCTTGGAGTTCACAGACCCACGGTCCAGGGTTTTACAGCGAGAAGTGAGCGGACTCAAGAATTCCTAGGCTGGGTGCGTTGGGTGGGTGCGTGGGTGGGGGTCCAGGGGTGAGAGGGCGAGGGAGCTGAACCAGGAGAGGCTTGGAGGTTAGTACCCGGCCCGGAGCCCCAGTCCTTGCTGCAGATGAGAAAATAGAGTACGCTGGGAGGACCACCACTTCGGGGGTGCGGGAGAAGAAGGGGTGGAAAGAACAATCGTGAAAGAATGAGGGTTTCTTCCAAGGGCTGGGGAAAGGATATTTCCAAATCCACAGCCATCCTGTTCCCTACTCCTCTGAATGGACGTTTAGGGGACGTGTGTTCCCCTAATAGAACGGACGTTCATTCATTCCTTTCTTCTCTATCTCCACAAACAATCCGCTAGTCCCTGTGTCAGATGGTGGCCCCAGAGTTGACCTGGATAAGTCACTGTCCTTAAGAAGCCCTCATCCATGGTCCTGCAGAGAAGCCCAAGTCAGAAATGTCAGCGATGATCATTATTTCTGTTAATTCACGATTTTAGCAGAAAACAAGGCTCAGAGACATGGAGGAATGTGCTCAAGTCCGCACAGTTAGGAAATATGGCAGCATTTGAATCTGGGTGCATGTGACAAGGAACATTCTCCCCCGCAGGTGAGTTTTCACACTCACAAGGCACACGCTTTCCTTCATCTTTGAAAAGGCTGGGCTCCTTTCTGTCTTGAAGGCCTGGCAGTGTTTGAGGCCAGGAGGGAAAGGGGCCCTAGGCCACGGGGGGCAGCTGGGGCCTACCACCAAGCTTGCCTGCCAGACACAGGGCTTCCTTTCTGTGGAACCTGTACCCCTCTTAAGTCTTATCCGGCCCCAGCCACCTTCCCTGGGTGGGCCTTGATTGGGGCAAGCACACCCACTGTGCCCCCTCCCCAGACTTACCTGCTGTTTTTCCTGTTGCCCCAGCCCCTCCACAGGGAGAGGCAAGGAGG